CAAGAAATTTGAGCGTTCAAAAGTCTTATTCACATTCATTTTGTTATATTGTTAGTAACTATGGTGAAATTCAGTAAAAATACTCTTCTTTCCCTGTCGTTCTGAATGATAAGTAATGAAGCAGTGCTATATAAAAACTGTATATAAATTCATTAGAAATGCCCGAAAAGTGCTCGAGGAAAAGAAGACCTTTAAATGTAATATTATACGTAGATGAATTATCTTGATACTATAATTAAGTAAGACAATGATGCCAATATTTATTGGAAGAATATTTGCATCTTTTTCTTATGATTGAAAATGATAAATAGTAAAATTTAATTAGCGAAACCATCAGTTCAGCTAAACTTTTCATGAAATTTTCGTAGTTGTATTAAATGTTTTCTTAGCATTAAAAACTACTGAGCTCGAACCTTCTATCTTTTGTCCTCACCGTTTCCATTGTTACGATATATTGTTGGGTTGTCATAATCTGTATTCATTGTTATGATACAATGTTTGTTACCATAATCTGTGTTTCATATCATACAAGATATTAATCGTGTCAGTTTTCCAAGGTTGTTTTAAAGTGAACATTTATCATGAGATCATAGAATAAAAAAGTCTAAACAGGTTCACCACAATTGGCATTGTGACATTTTTGTTTCTCTGTTTCAAATCAAGTTATTTCTAAGTGTTTCGTACGACCAGCCAGGACAACCGACTATATCAAAATATTAATATTAATGAGGTCACTCAAGAGATAGGCAGCTTTCTTTAATTCACACCAAAACAACCTAGCAATGTTAAGTACAATTAGGTCACTGAAGAGAAACGGGTTTACTTTATTTACTTCAAGAATGAAAACATTAAAATTAATTAGGTCATTTATTCGCTCTAACAGTTGTTTCTAATGAAAGAGATATTCCATAAGAATAATGTTAACAAAACTTTAGTATATCGTGCAACAAAATAATTTTACATATTATACTTTTGGTTCTTGGTTCGAGGCTTTGTATTTTCGTAGCATTTGGGTTCTTACTATTTTTGAAACATTTGCTAGGACAATACCTTTCTGTATAATGATTCTTTGGGTAGAGTAGTTTACTGTTTGGTTTGATAAATCGTTTAGTTAAAATAAAAGTGATTTTATCAGTGCAGCCAGCTAAGTGATGGGATACAAGAAAACATACTTATTAAGATTTGGTCTGAGGCTAACAAGAAAGTTCGAAGCTCAAATAACGTGTATTTTTTTGTGCTCGCTTGAGTAATTTGATTTAGAATGAACGTTTTTATACTTTCATTTTTCAAAACATAAGCGAAAAAGCTTTTTTTGACAGTAGTCATTGGTATGATAATATTAAATGATGCTTACTTTGGCTTTCGTATCTCTACTCTGAATTAAATATAGCTGTTTTTAACACGTTGTTTTAGTTTCCTTCGCTTTAGTTATATTATACCGAATCAGAAGTGGGGCATCATTATAATAAATAACCGAAACACATTCTGTAGTACAAATTATATTTATATTCCACAGATCAATAAGGTCTAATGTATTTTGTTTGCTGCGCTCTCAAAAGCAGTACTGATGGGTGGGACCCGGCATGGCCAGGTGGTTAGGGAGCTCGAATCGCAATCTGAGGGTCGCGGGTTCGAATCCCCGTCCCATCAGACATGCTCGCCCTTTCA